TATTACCAATACATATAAAGTATGGCTAGAAGCAAGTATTGGATCAAACTGGTTGGAAAATTATCAGTATAAGATTGGCAGAATTTGGTATCACATCATCTCTAGAACATATACCATATTTCTGTACAAATAAGAGCATGCCCTTATGTGAAAATTGTTTGTTTGCACATTTTTTTAAACAAGTTTTGCTTTATATATTAAAAAGCTTTTTGCCTGTATTATTTAAATTACAAAAAATTAGTTACTGTGACTAATGAAGAGGCCTATTACATACTCAGCCTATTTAATTAACTTAACCAAAATGCATTTCAGCCTTACTGGCCAAAATGCATTTTGGTTAAGTTAATTAAATAGGCTGGGTGTGTAATAAACCTGTTCATTAGTCATAGTAACTAACAGTAAGTCTTGCTTTGCTTATAACAACTTGCTTTTGTGTGTTCAGCTTGTTTTGGCTTATAAGAGTATTGCAGCCTGCTGTGTCAATCTACATTAAATGTACATGTACTGATATGGTTATTAGTCACTAATAAAAATAAAAAAATGTTTCAGATACTATAAAGGTTTTTAAAAAATAAACAGTTTTTTTTTAGGTACTTATGAAATCTAGTGCTGATTTTGCTCCCATCTATAAGAGTACCTAAAAAACTTATATGCATGGAAATATGATGTGTGTATATATATATATATACTGTATATATAATTATTATATTAAATATGATATGTTTTTTCTTCAATATCATTTTATAAAACTTTAAAAAAAAACAATAAATTGACATAAAAGAGATTAAAACTGATAATGTTATTTTTATTTTATTTATATACTAGATATTATTCCAATAGTGAAGTTAGTTTCACAAGCTATTTTTCTATTGTTATGCAAATACCAAATTCATGAAACCAGTTCTATTTCTTATTTTTATTTTGGTATCTTTCCAAAACATTTTCTACAAATATAACATATTTATAACGAATTATTAAAATACAAAGCAAACTTTTATTAACAACAATAAATTATTTTAATACATAATTTTTAAATCTGTTTCTATTTTATCTAACTTGTAATCTAAATTTTCTTACAAAACTGTTAATGACCAGCTGACATGTTAACTGATAATTAAAAACAAAACAAAATTTCATCAAGAATAAGTAACAACACAAACACACGATATTTCCTTTATTAATTCATTTCTCCTATTTATTCTGACTATTCTTGAATAACATTGAAAATATTACAAAATAATAATATGATATTTAAATAATTAATACATCTCTATTTAACAAGGTAGCATCTCTTAAATAACTGCCTGAAAATATCAAAAAAATAATAATTACAAAAATTTCAGAAAAGAAGTTCATATATATAGCAATTATCAGAATTCAAACATAATACAAGAATTATTATAAAAACTAAAATATTTATATAAGGTAATTTAATTTATATTTATTAAATATTTTTATCTTTCAACTATTTTAATATTTCATAGTTTATCTTTATTAAAAATTATAAAGTTAAGATTTTATGAACTGTTTTTGTCATTCAGTTTAGTATTTGTTTATCAGACAAATATTTGAAAAAAATAATGTTTACATTGATATAAACAATCAACTGTGTAACAGTTGTTTTTCTGTAAATTTGGCAGATTTTTTTCTTAATTTAAATTAAGTGCCTTGTAAACAATACTATGAAAATTTAGTATGGTTCATTATGATATAATGAACCATACTAAATAAATTGTTTTGTTTCCTCCACTGTATAAATTTTAATTTTATGCTGCTAATATAAAAGAAAATTTTTCCATGTTAATAATATAGTCATAACTATATTATTAACATGTAAATCTTGTTAGATTTCACACGCATAACCAGAGCTATTTTCCAGCCAGAACACATTGGTACATCCTACTGGCAGATAGCATAAAAAGTATAAATAGCCAGTACATAATATTAGCAGCTGCTTAGTAAAAAATTCTATACATTCACTCATTTTATATGCATACTGGCAATAATTTTTTTTAGAAAAAAAAGAGCACTGCATACAGACATACTATTAATGAAAATTTTTCATCTTCAAATTCAATTGAATAATTGAAGTTTATGATCTATTAAAAAAATCCACAATTTAAATTTAAATGACTTATTGAACTATATAATTTTTACTACAGTTTAAATACTTGTAAAAATATCTTTATATTTTCCATAATTTTAATTGTGAAATCTAAATAGATTTAAATTTGTAAACTATAAATAGCATTTCAACATTACATTCAGCAAACTTATTACAATAATGATTATAATTGCTATGCTAAATATATCTTAGTAATAGCTCAATATAAATCTATATTAAAATCTTATTACATTAAATTATTTATCAATACACTGTTTTCATTTTGCAATCAAATATTTTTATACATTTTGAGTGTGTAGAAATAGAAAAATAATCAAAATCAGATATTTTTCATATGGAAAAATCAATTTGTAAAGTCAATCAATTTCAAATCAACTTATAAAAGAAATTTGTATTGTTCTTTACATTTTTGTTATATTAAGTAAAGATTACAATATATAAAATAGCATACTGTATGTTCAATAATATGTAGATAGCCTATATTTTAAGATAAATTCATGAATTGTATTTGACCTTAAATCTAATACAAACTTATTTTAAAGTTATAATAGTGGTTTCACAGATCTAAAACCTATAGTAATTTTCTAAATAAACTAATAAGAATATATAGAAATAAACAAACAACACAAGCAATGAAAAAGGTTTTAAATTTACTAAGTTACTAATTAAATATATTTATATATATTTGGTTTAATTCAGTACACAGGTTGTTGTTTTATATCAAAAACTATTTTTGAATAATTTAAACTATTATTTTTATAATAGACTCAAGATGAAAAAAATAGATACAAAATATTGCACAAGTTGTTTATTAAAGTGAATTTTAGATAAAATGTTTCATTTTGAAAATGACAAAAAAGACAAATTTTTAAATATAGAAAATTTTTTCTATATATTAAAGTTTATTTGTCTCTATTTTTGGCAAATTGCCAGTATCAAAATTTCAATGAAACTTATAAATTTATATGTATATAAAGATTATGTATTACTATATATGATTGTTATCTCAAAACTATACTATAATTTTTCTGTTAAAGCTTTAATATTTTTATTATTGTTATTATTTCATAAAATACTATTCAATAATTCATGACACTATAATGATGATCAAAACAATGACATTAAAAAGCAACTATTGCACTACTCTTGCTTTGGATAAATTAATTCAAGAAGTCTTCTCAACATAATATCATACAAGAATAAAGAAATAGAAATGGATTTCAGGAAACTTTAAATATTATCAAAAGCATACTTAAGAAATTTTTTAATTTAATTAAGGAATATCAATTATAAGCAATTTAATTTTGAAAAATTTAGTAAAATATTTATTGAAAGTACGTTATTCCAATAACTTTGAAAAACTTTAAAAAATGGCAACATTCAAAGGTCAATGAATACATTTGTTTACTCACCCCTGAAAGAAAAATGCTTGAACTAAGGTCAATAAAAAGACATTTGTCTGCTGCTACATAACAAAAAAAAAATTTTTTTAACAAATATAATTTTAATTCTCCTCAAATATAAATGACATAATAAATCTGAATGAATAACCTATTTTTTGAGGAAAACAAAAGTAATTTAATCTTGTTTCGATATATTATTATATCTACATAAAATGATGAATCTAATTTATATATAGAACAATTTTTTACTGTACTTCTATCATTACCCATATCACTTATGATTTTTAATTATTTATACATAGAATATCCATTACATAGATATTATCATCAACATAATTATTAAATATTTGTTAATCTGTAAAAATATTATAAACAAGTAATCATTAACACGCATACCGTACAAATTAAGTAATAGTTATAGCTACTGTAACTATTACTCAATTTGTATGGTATTTGTGTTTCACATGATTTGCTTCTAAAACATACCCCGGATTAAAGAAAATCCAGTCTTGCTTCAAAAAACATGGATAAAAATTCACAATTAGTACATTATGAATTTTTTCTTAATTTTGCTTTCTTAAAATATATAGTAATAAAAACTACCATCTTCAAAAACTTCTGAAAAATCCCAATATTTTAAAATTTGTCATGGTCTGACAAACAAAGTTATTTAAGCAGAGAGCAATAAAAGCTTTTTATATATTTCTCATGTAACACTTAATATAAAAAAACAACAACCGATTTACAACAGACATATTATATTTAAATAATTTGCAACATCCAATGGCTATAAAATGTTACCATATTTTTTGAATTTGCTGAGCTTTTGCAAAAAAGAAATTTATTTGATCATAGGGCTATGAAAGGGTTTTTAAACTCGCCACACGTAACCGAATACACCGACCATAACCATTCTTTCACAGACATATATTGTATTAATTAAGATACCTCGCCAGTAGACGCATCCTTAATGTAGAAATTTTTGGGGGGGCGACACATACATAAGCGAAAACTTATCACTGAAGCATGTTTTTTTAAAGAAATTCCTTCACATTTAACTCAGTTATACTGCGAAAACTTATCACTGAACTATGTACTGTACACTTTCAATAATTCCATCTCTAAACATATATAAAGTTTATTTATGAAAAAAATAAGTGTGACAGAGAAGTAAATGAATGTTAAATGCAACTGTATCATATAAATATATCAAATTTTGTTATCTACAGCAAGTATGTAAGATAATACAACTTCAATATCAAACAATGGGACAAAAAAACATAATCGAATGTGGTAAAACTAATTAAACGTATTGTAAAACGATCAAATTAACAAGTTTTCTGCCAATTACGATAACGTTAACATATGTTAACGACTTATTTAACTTTACATGTGTGCAACTTTACGCGTAATCAGTAGAATAGCATGGGCGATCATTAACTTAAATATCGGAAAGGAAAATAACTTCTTACTCTAAATGAACTTGGTCGTGAGAAAATAACATCATCAGACATCACTGTCAAGGTCTGTAGAGTTGTTATTATTATCAAGTCACACGATTAAATAAAATCGATAAAACAAACTGTTTAACTCGCAAATGCGTCTTCATCTGTTTACGTAAACCTAAATTAATATTCCGGGAGTAACTGCCAATCGACCAATCAGATTGAAGTATTTTATTTTGTTGACATCGTTCGTTTATATTTACGGTCGGCAAAAATGTAAAATAAATATTTATATTTAAAAGTTAAGAAACTTCAAATAAATATCTACGGTTATTAATAAAGTACTGTATAAATTTATTTAAACAGAAAAATATAAAAAGTTCCGATAGATGGCAATACTTTAAAAAAGTTGTTTACGAGATGTCTATTGATTTTTTTTAATATATATGAATGCCAAACTCTTT